GTGAATTAACTTAACGTTCTACACACCTATAAAACTTTTGCTTTGTTTTCTATTGTTAATTTATATACATTTTTATTTTAAGAAATTGCTAAACATTTTCGTCTAGTACTGTACAGTTATAGCCGATCTCCTAAGACCGCCCATCGAGAGCTCTGCTTGTTCAAGCTTGTTCCAACTATTTGTGTCTTGCTCACGCCTAGTGTGTATTCTTTCTATCTTCGCGCAGATTTCTTCAAGGTCACAATTCTAACAAATTGAAATGGACTGTACATATTGTGGATTTTTGAACAAAAAAAATATTTACTTCTCTTTTCTACTCACAATTAGTTTAAAATCCCTAGTTATAAGGAACTAATTTTGACTACTCAAAAGTTCTAATCGATTATTTCTTGTTTCTTAACAGATGCCCACACAGACCCTCGTTCTTCTTCAAACGATGTCAGACGTTTGAAGAAGAAAAGGCGTAAGCGACTTTCAACACTGCAGCAACAAAGTCAAGAAGGTCCGGCATCTTCTGAGCACACGGATAATGGCGAATCAGACGAAGTACTCAGTCAATCGGAAACGGGAAGTAACGTGGGCGAAACGTCGTACGTTTCTTCCCTTCAAATAAACACACCGGAAAAACAATCCGAATCAATAACCCAAGATCGATCTGTTCCCAAAACAGACTCGACTAATGCGAGCTTAAGTACTCACGGGTCTGAATCTGAGAACGAGCGAGACGTTGAATCGTCAGGCCACGTGAAGCAAATCGACAGCTGTGATATTAAAGACGATAAAGAAGACGCCGAAGAAAGTATAAGTGAGGAGGAATTGAGTAATAATGAGTGTAAAGCGAAAGAAGATGAATCACATATCGAAAATCACTCACTTGCTCATCATTCAGACGTCGTAGTTGCGCATAAAGAAGGAGAAGATGTGATAGTCGAGGTTGAATCGAAGACTGATAACGTTAACATTAACGCTTCTACTGAGTCTTCCGTTGAGGAGACTCAGAAAAACTCGTACCAACTTAAGCCTGACGCCGAAGAGTTCGTTCCGAGAGCACTTAGACATCCTCAACATCTTCCTCTGAATCCTGCCCTCCAATTTGTAAATTTACCCCCAACGTATATGCCGATCCCTATCATCAATCCCATAGGATCTCTTCCCCCAACTACTCAGCAATCGTTTTCACCAGTGTTCCTGCCACCTCCAGGAATACCACCCCCGCTTAACATCGTGTCACAACCTCAACCACCACCACCACCACCGCAACCATCGTCGTCATCGCTTGATACCAAAGCAATTTGTACTTATCAACCATCAATTCAAAACGTTACTACGGAACCCACTTCTAAACAAGAAACATCAACAAAAGAAGTCGAATCTAGTATCACCAATATTAAAAGCGAGTCTTTAGTAAATGATGTTACGGAAAATGTAAATGATAAAGTTAAAGAATCTCAAATACCTAACGGTAGTGAAAATCAACAAACTAATAAGGTGCCCCATCAAGGCAATCGAATAGATATTGCTCAAATTGTCTTCAAATTGGAAGAGGCAGCGAAAGAGCAGAATCAAGAAAAACCTCAACAGAACGTCCAGAGACGTCAGAACAAATTCAACAATCGTTCCCCTCAACGAACGTTCTACGGTGATAATCGGCAAAAGGTTTTCGGTAATGGTCCGAGAAGAAACAATTTCTATAATCGAAGAAACGAACAATCGCACAAAATACACGAAAATAACATGAAACAACAAAAGCCAGCTGAAAATCAACCAGCTAAGAAGTCTGAAGTCAAAAATCAGAAACTGCCAACAAGTGAGAATATTTTAAGGAACGATGTTAATTCCATCGATAACGTTTCACAGGTTAGACTCAAAAGCAGTCCAAATAGAAGCTTCTCTACCTCATCTCGTTCTGCCCCAAATCCTGTTTCAATTGTCGAAAAAAAGATACAGAACGATCAGAAAGTACACCAGAGTCCTGTGAACTGTTCGAAGATGGTACAACAACAGTCGGCTCAATCGCCGGCAAGAAATGGCTCCAAGTTTGATAAACAGGACAGAAAATCTGATAAACCTCAGTTCGTTCAGAGGAATCATTCAAGTCCAAGAAATTCCATCCAACATAAAGAAATCGCAGTTCAAAATAGCCCAAAGAAACTGTCTAATTCTCAGAATCAATGGATTAGCGTTTTTAATCGTAAAAAGAGGCGAAATAAGAACCAGGAAGATTCAGAAAATGAAACCAATCAAGACTTAATCGAAGTAGAGTCTTTTGAATCATCTTTTGTGGCTCAAGTTAATGACGTAAAAGAGAGTCCTGATAATGTTTTGGCCAATGAGGTAGAAGTTATAAACCCTTCAGAGAAATTAGAGAACGTTCAACATAGTTTGGAAAACGTAAGTGTAGCTCAAGGACAACCTGTCTCGGAAGCCCATCCAAAGGAAGACACCACCATTCCAGAAAACGTCAACGACAAATCGGAAGAAGCTGTTTTAATAGTTGAAAGCCAAGAGGTTCCTGCAACAAAAATTGTCAGTGAAGAAGATAATCAGAAATTGGAAGAAAAAAATATTAACTCAGAAAAGAAGGCAGGTACCAACAAATTTGAGAAGAAAATACAAAACAAAAGTACGAAGAAAAGTCAAAAAGCGCAGTCCAGGAAGATTATGATAACTGATCCGGACACATCATTTATTTTGCACACAAATCCAACTGATGTCACTGAGGATAATGAATGCAAACCCTTGAAAATTGAAGCGCCTGAAGATGTGCATTTAGGGGAAGATGACAAAGTTGAAGAAGTTATTGAAAATTCAAGCAAGGACGATTTGCCGATAGCTGCGGTTGTTACTGAGGAACCAGTAAAAGATAATATTCAAGAAAATGTTGAAGAAACTGTAGCGTCGCACGTGGAAGCAGTTGTTACCGATGAAGCTGCAGGTACAGCTTCCGATACTTCTGATAAAAAATCGAAGAGAAAGAAAAAACGAGTAACATTGAAAAGTAACTTAAATAAAAATCGATCTGCGTCCAGTTCTAGCTCCGTATTGAACGTTGATGACCCATACAACTATCTTCTCGAAGATATTATTTTGAAGGACTCGGACAACAAGACGAACGAAGAAATTTCCGAAGAACTGGATAGAATTATTCAAAAGGGCATGTACACTAGCCTGGAGGAAAAACTTAAGACCATCAATGTTTCTGACTCTACAGAAGACCAGTTTTTCAAAATGCTCAATTGTGATAGTTTTGTCCAAAAGAAACCGGCGCAAAGTAACACAACATCAATTAAAATAACCGACTTTGCTTCAATTCTAAAAAACTCGATATTTGGGGGAAAACAGGCTGAACAGGCGCAAAAAGTTGAAGCTAGTTTCCCCCAGATTACGTTCTCAAACGTCGAAGATCTACCACAACCTTCGACTTCACGTTCAGGATTTTTTCTTGAAAATCCCGAAACTACCGAGTTAATAAAAAATATCACAAATAATACTGTCGATGTTGAACCTCCCCTTTTTCAGATTTGCATGGTGGAACATCACCCAAATGTGAAGAGCAAAAGTGACAATAAACTAAAGTGTAAGAATAAAAGGTCTAAAAGGCCCAGTTCCCCTCTCCAACCAAATCCTAAGATAATAGAGATTACAAATGACAGCAAAGGAACAACAACAACTAATTCAAAAGTTTCACGTAAAAATGGTGATTTTTTTCGTGACAGCAACGAATCAGGAAATGATACGTTAATCGATGAGAGGGAAGATAAAGTTTCCCCTTTGGAAAACGGAAAGGAAACTTTGTATCCTATAACTCAGGCTGTGAAGGAATGGATGACTAAAACCCGTGAAACTACTCCGGATATTGAGATTCTAAAAAGTCCCGATGTAATTCTTAAAGAATTCATTGAATCCGACTCGGAAATAGAAGAAACTGAAACTGGATCAGCCAGAGACATAGGGGCCATTGCCGAAAAGATTCCCAACGGATATTCCAATCATAACGGAGTGGGTGAAGTTGTGAAGAAAATGACACCTGAGGAAGAAGTTACTCTATTTACTGCCAACGACGATTGGAGTTTATCTCCTCAAACCAGTATCGAGGAGGAAGATTTATTGGAATGTTGGGATAACGAGATACCAAAAAATCCTTCCGAAATTGATCCCGTTCTGAACAAGAAGATGAACGGAAAGATTGAAAACGGATTTGGTGAAGATGACGACGATGTCATAGAAGAATATGAGAGCAAATACGGAAAAAACGAAGATTACTTGAAACTAAAGGCTGAAGTCGAGGAACAGAAGAAACGCATGAATTTTGCGAAACACGGAAACCTCCCTTACAGGGCTATATGTTGTAATATTATGTAAATACTTACGGCGAGAACAATGTTTAAAATAAGGAGAAGATGATGATGAAAATGAAGATTATCGTAATGAAACGGATAGCGATTCCTAAACACGGTTATTGTTGACGATTTAATGTTACGTATTATTATTATTATTATAAATAATACCGCTGCAAGTACAAATACTTTCAGAGCATTTAACTATTGTTGACTTATATACACTTACACAAACATACATACATACATACATGCGTACATACATAAACACATACCGAAATAATGATCAGCGAAGCTCAGGTTATAATATTTTTGTTGCCTTTTGGGTGTCGACAGAAAACTGATTGTTATGCCCAAAAATACGTGCGTGGGTGTAATAGAACCCATGTGGGACACAAGAACACCCAAAAAAATCGTTATTAATTACGCGCGTCATTATCTATCATTATTAAAAAAAAAAAAAAACGAAAAAAATCATGAGAACAAGAAAAGCGAACTGGAGTTTTTTTACTGGTTCGTCAATGTTAGATTTTAGTGTGTCGCTGAGCGACGTTTCTGCCCCGTTATCAGTTGAACAATAAGCTGTATTTTTAGTCTAGGTTAAGTCTTAGAAGTTTTTAATTTTGTCTTAATACATTACATAATAATTATGCAGGTTATTGTTTTAGTCAGTATGAAAGCAAACAAAAAATATTATCAACAATAGCTTTCCACACATGTTCAACCAAAAGTGGATTTCAAAGTTTTGTTGTGAAAAAGAAAATACGTTCTCCTCCTATTACAGGGCCGGACTTGAAGAACAGGGGACGTTGTGAATATCAACGTAAAAACAGTGACATTAAGAAAATACATTTATATTTAACATACCTATGAAGTGCCTACATTGATTCCTTAAAGGAATGATATTTTTTGGGGTTTGCGCACTTTTAATTCCGGTCCTGTATTAGTTCATCATCGCCGTAAAAATAAAATTCAAGTATCTACATTTGATCGTCATAAATTTGATACAGCATGAAGTACAAGGAAAGAAGAAAGATGTCGAGGGGAAGAACAGTCAGTAAGTGTGGAAACACATCTAACTTCATGCTAATTCATTAATTAATTCTTGTCTAATTGTTGATATAATGATTAATCCACTTTTGGTACACCTATTTAATTATTTATTCAGCTTCATACGAATGAAGAAAGAACTTAATAATTAATAATGATTTTTGATTATTTTTTATCGATTACATTTTTAGATTACCTACTTTGTTTTGTATAAGTAGAGGATAGCACAAAAAAAAAAACGTTAGATAACTGGAATATCGCCAAATCCACTAAAGCAATGTGTTCTTTGTGTAAACGATTTAATTAGATAAATCATTATTTCTCCATGCCGACCGTTACCATCTTAATAATATTATTAATCTTTTTTTTTTTCAAGTATTTTTTGTTGTTAGATTTTGCGTTAACTTTGGCGGCTATTTTATGCTGTCTAGGTTGCATGCAATGGCTTACATACATACATACATGCATAAATACATAAAGTTATTATAGATGTTGGATGCCCCGATTATTACGAGTAGCTATTAAAAAAAAAAAAAATATGTAACTTAACGCACGCCTAGAAGAGAAAAAAAGTACCGATGTAACCGAAAAGGTATCTCTGTCTTATTCTATTAAAGTTTTATTATCTCATTTAATGTGACATCCACGGAAATGTCTGTGCAATTCTAAAGCCATTTGCCTCCTCATCATATTATCATCATTATTATTATTATTATTTCTACCGATCTCCTCCAANTGTGGTTTCCGTGGATTATTTAGGCAAATGCTGATTCCACAGATAAAATCTTCACTCTTTTCTTTCTTCATTTCGTACCCTGCAATGTCACAATCCAATGCATCTCTAGTTTACTGATCCAAGTTTTTCTGTAGTTCCCTGCATTACTTAGGCAAATCTCATGATTCCTGAAAGGTGGCTGAAGAGGGCTTTCTAGCCAACCCCCCGGCATAATCCGGAGGGACTGTCCGCCCACCAGAATTAGTAGCTGGTGAGAATGTAAAACCTAAAAATTTATTTATGATTTTTTTCCGCAATGAGATTAATTTTCTCTTTTGATCAACAATTTCTGAATCAATATTCTCCGTTCATCACGTATCGATTTTAATGCCTCTGTTATTATCATCGTCTATCTATCACCGATTCGAAGCAAGTGTACCTGTTGGAAGCGCTAGTCGTTAGTGCTGAAAATAACATTGGCACAATTCTTGTCGCACAATTAGAACCGAATGACTGACTTGACAAGAAAAAAACTGACGATATCTAAAATAATAAATGTCACACGCGGTAAAGAATGAGTTACAATTGCAGTTAAAATGCCAGTGGATGCTCCGAAATAATCTTGTAAATGGTTTTGTTTAATGCAGTACTGGTTATAACTATAAATTGCAAACCATGAGATAGTAAATTACAACTGTTAGTGCATAAATTAAACTGGGTATTAAAGAACGTGGCATTTTTTTCTCGCAACTTTGGATAATGGAAGAATATAGTTTTAAAATTTATGAAAATAAGTTAATTATTTATAGCTAGATATTATAACGTATGAGGGTGTGGAATAAGAAGTTTCGGACTTGATACATCGATAAGGCCAACAACATACAATAGATCTGTTACTATCTGTATAAATACAGGGTGTCTCACGGTGACCACCCATTAGAATATTTCGGAAACTACTTCGATTCGAATTTGGACAATAACGTTATTGGGTATGCTCTCTTCAATTAAATGGAACACTCTGTATATTATGACGCTTTTGCATTCTATTTATGATTTTAGGTAGACTTTTATAATGCTTTTCTACTTCTAAAATTTACTGATTTCGAGATATTAATTTTTTTTAAATAAAATATCACAGAGCAGTAGATTGCGAAAAAGCATGCCAATTTTACAGTAGGAGCAACAACATTCTCAAGAAAGGTAGCTATACACTCAAGCTTACCTTCCATACTTTCCAAATGTGTTAATTACATGGAAGGTGTTAGATATTTAGTGGCGGATTTGGTTAACTTCAAAAATTCGTAAGTCAATTTTTTCAAATGGAAGACCATGTATATATTTTCGTTATCGTATACAGAATTTTATTGTCTTTCGAATGATACTATGGTTCCCTGTCCCCATCTCCTCTAGTTTTCAAATTACTTAGTGTTCTTTGTAAAATCAACAAGGCTGCTTATTTGTTTACGAAGTTGGTTGTGAAATTATTAGCAGAACCTTAAAAACATTAGTTAATTATTGCCACTGAAACACCATACTGACAGTTTAGTCATTAAATATTTTGATTCTCTACATCTGTTATTCAGTATTACTTTTATGAATAATGGAAAATGGAAGTACATATTCAAATTGAGAAGAATTTTAAGAAATCAATTGCAATACTGTAGACTATAGATAGAAATAGTAAGAAAAGAAAATAAAATAAATAGTTAACAATATCAGCTGATATTAATTAAACGTACCTATTCATTTAACTGTTCGAGTTGTAACTCATAGCATATCTAACGATTACACTAACACATTTAATTATTATCAGCTGATATCGTTAATTATTTATTTAATTTATTGTTTATTTGCTTTTTTTACCATTGTTGTCTGTAGTCTACCGTTTTGCAATTGATTTTATAAAATTCTTCTCAATTTGAATAGGTATTTTCATTTTCGAAGTAGTTTCCGAAATATTCTAATGGGTGGCTACCGTGAGACACCCTGTGCAATGTTCTGCACTCTACAGGATATAAAATCGGTAATTTTGAAGAATTCGAAATGGAACTAAACAATTACAACAAAGCAGCACCCTCCACCCTTTAAAATTTAGACAAATTCAACTAGAAGGTACCTTTATATTTATTTTATCGACAAGCCAGCTTTTAAAATGTTAAGGTATGCATTTATTTCTGCGTTTGTTGTTTTATGAAATAATAACGTCGTGTTGGGGTCTCTGCCAAAAGGCCTTTCCAAAGGAGAAAACCGTTGGTACCATCAACACCTCGTTATAAATTGGAAACTTAGTCGCGTAACATCTAAGTGATATTTTTGCCCCAGAAAACTTAATATTGCAATTCTATATTATTAGGAACTGTCTAATTATATAA